TTTTTTTCTTTTTTCAAATTACTGAACGAACGATTCTCACCATAGCGATACCGAAAAGGCTCTTGTTTAAGCATTTTTCGAGGTAAATGAATTCCGGTAATCAGATGTGCTCGCGTATTCTGCTTCATCCAAATCATCGATCGAGGGATCGCTGAAGGATTCAATGGCATTAATCCTTTTCGATCGGTGCTTTGATTCAAGTTTAGACGGTCCACTTGAGTCCTAAGTAAACAACTTAACTTTCAGTATTAGCATATCGTTTAACTCAAAAATTGCTGGTATTTCATCAAAATGTGCTTCATTGTTTATGTCTAGAAAAGTCTGAAATGCAAAAATTTTCATGTTTTTAGAATTTTTTTCAAGAAAAAATTTTTTCCAAGACCTAATTAGCTGCTATGCATAGGGAGATATGTGAATTTCGAGATTCATTTTTAAGAAAGTATTAGCAAATTGAATTTGACAATGTGATTATGAACGGTATTGTCAATAACTCTGTATCAGTAATTCCAGTTAGGGATAAATTTACTTCTACCTGCTTCGATAAACGACCGTAATGTTTGAAATCCTGAGGTATATGACCATTTTTGGTTAGCCAATTGATCATCTGCCAAGGGACTCGCCGTAATGCTCGTTCAGTAAGCAGCTCCCAAAAATTAGCATCTTCCGGTAATTTGCTGCGAAACTTTGTTAATGCTACAAACTGAAAATGTAAAAGTTGCAGGAAAAAAATTGCGGAAATCTTGATTTTCAGATGTGTTTTTAACATTGATACTTAATTCTTATTTTTTCTCAATTCAAGATTTATTCTAAAACTTCACAAAAGTTATACAATTTTAAAATAAACCTGTAACATGTCACGTTCAGCTCGACGATTCTGGTAGGAAATTCGGCCACCTGAAAGACCAAGACGCTCCATTTCTTCACAGTCATCTTCTGTTGCAATAAATATTATTGAAAGTGGAGCTTTGGATGCAAATATCGTCGCCTAAATTTGCTGTTTATTGAAAGTGTTGAAAATCTAACAATTTTAGAAAAGTATAAAAAAACTTCATGTAACACAAAACATCAATTCAATTTGTAAAATTTTTCCTTTAGACAATTAAATGATGCGGTTAAATTTAAATTACATACATCTCGAATCTATCTTTTCATATCCAGAGAAATACTGTACCTGTACTGTTTCTCGGATATCATTTATCTTTCCTTTGCTGATTATTGCTAACACAAAATATGGGTATTGCAATTGATTTTCACGTCTACGTACATTGCTAGCCAACCTAAAACTGATTATTGCATATCAGATTAATATGGTAAATATCAGTAAGTTGAGAAAAGGATGAATATGTCAATGAACTTATCTCTATTTGAGGTATAAAAATATTAGTTTATTTAATATAATTCAACTTACTTAGAAATGTGATAAATGATATGAGCAAAATGGGCGGTTGTACTTGGTTGTACTTGAGCATTCGCTTTCCAGAATGCATCAATTAGACCATCAATTCCCTGACAATTAGGATCCGTTTCTAGATTCTGCAAACATATTTAATAATTAATTATGCCTCCAATGTTCATTTGATATTACTGAGTTCAGAAAAGTTCATTTCAACTCCTTAAAATATCAACATGAACTAACATTTGATCAGCTTGATATGCTATAAATTATTTCATCCACCTAGACTGATAGATGAATAAATATGTATTTCAGTTGGTATTTTCAAAGCATTAATTTCAGTTGCTGGACGATACAACGAATACTTAAATAAAGTCTTACAAGGCAAAATTGCTGCGACTTTCGAAAATATGGTGGAATTCGTGCTCCAAAACCGAAAGCTGCATAATTTTGCGAACTAAAAATAGTAAATACAATGTTTAAACTTATGATTACAGGTGATAACTTTATTTTTTAGTACAAAACTTTAAGGCTTATACTGTCGCGAATTCCAATTTCGCGAGAGACCAAAGTATAAAAAATTATCTATCCATGCAATCATCACTCATGTCTTAGATCTTTGTTTTAAATCACATCTGTTGAAATATTTGGAGAAAAATCACTCCCACTTTTTCCGTATATAAGCTGGATTGAGTGTTTGTTGGGGGTGCCTTTTATGACCAGTTTTTTCATTACGCTCAAGCAGTTTGGTTGATTCCTTTTCTTTTCCTTTCATCATTATTAGCTGTATCGTATCGTTTTTGTGACCCTTACCCTTTACAAGTAAAGAATTTAACTCTTCCCCTTTGTCTACAACGTTACGACACATACACACATCA